CCTAGGAAGTCAGTGTGCAGAGAGAGAGAGAGAGAGAGAGAGAGAGAGAGAGAGGGAAGGAGATGGCGCGTCCAGCTTTTAATGCAGGTGCACAGGGGGTTGACATGACTACGTCATATGCAGATGATGGGGCTCACGCATGCACGCAAGGGCTTAACTGAGTCATATGTGGATGATGCAACCACGCATGCATGCAAGGGCTTAGCTGAGTCATACGTGGATGATGCAACCACACAGGCACATGGGTCATGCGGGGAGGGAGGGGGACCCTTTAACATCCCTGGGGCCATTAGGTACTTCTGCCTGAGGGCTTGTCCGCACATGCATGGCCCTAGAACTCGGAGATGTCAGCCTTATTGTTGCTGACCCATAACACCAGTGCCATGGTGACTTGCTCAAGGGAAAGCTTATGAATCAAGGAGGGACAGTCAGAGTTTGCTTAGAACTTCTGCTAAAATCCATGGGCCAGAGAACTCTCGAGACTCACATGTATCACTTCCAGCACATTCCATTGAGCAAAGAATTTGGAGCCATTGTTTTAAGTGCTCAGTTTACCCTCCAGCTCCAGCAAAACACACTCATCCTCTCCCAAGACCTCCCCAGATCTCATTCCATTATAGCATTGGCCTGAGGCCTGAGGCCTAGAATTACATCAAATCAGCTCTGCTCCGGGTTGGTTTGAGAAAGATTGCTCTGTCTGAAGCAGGAAGACACATTTTAGTGTCCCTCATATGCTGTTCCACTCAGCACATGATTTTGGGGATCCGCTGCCTGGTAAAAAAAAAAAAATGACTTCAGACTTAATGGTCCCAAACCATGCCATTAACTGTGCTCACAGGGTCTGTGGTTAGGAAGTTGGATATGTCCATGTGCCATGAAATCTTGGACCTCAGCCTTGAAGACTCAAATGCCTGAGGCCAGGAGCAGCTGAAGTTAGCGTGGCCACGTAAAGTTGACTTCTTCCTTACATAGCTGCCATCTTGGTGGGCATGGCAGGAAGGCTGAACTGCCGTTCTTGGTAGAGTATCTGCCATGGTCTCTCCAGCATGGTAGCCCAGGGCACTTGGGCTATTTATAGAATAGAGATAAAAGGAAGTAAACAGAAGGCACTAGAGGTATCTTAGTAAGAGAAAGCAAGGGCTGGCTTCTTTCGGAGGAGTTTTTCCCAGAAAAGAGAGTGGAGAGGGCTGGGATGGTGAGCTGGGAAGGAAGTGTCTGATCTGCCTGTGCAGTGTAGGAGGACAGTCCAGGAGTCAGCAAACAGCTTTTTTGGGAGTAGACACACTTGAGTAGAGATGGATGGTATATGTGAGCTGGGTCAGGCTGAGGAATGGGCAATGGGAATGAAAGTTCTCTCTGCCATGGGGAGGGGGCTGTGTGGAGTTAGCAGCTGCCTCTAGAGTGGCCTGGACAGTGGCCCACTCGGCTATCTATGTCCAGCTCCTAAACTCCCTATGCCCATTAAAGGAAGGAGGAAGAGAGGCAGGGGAGAGCCCACGTGATGAAGCTGGACGCTGAAGAAAAGTAGCAGCATCATTACCTCCCAAGGACACAAGCATGCTTCAGGCCTCCGTAAAAAGTATTCTGTTGTTCTAAGCTACCCAGTCCACGATCACTTGTTAGAGCAGCATCAGTAAACTGATGAAGACAGTGTGGGCATGAGATGGGGAGGCGGCGGAGGAGCATGACAGACAGTCCAGTGTGCTCTTCCTCCCCACCCGTTCCTGCTCTGTCAGAGGCCTGAGTCAGAGGTCCCCTGGTCCCCTGTACTCTATCTCAGCACTGGTTCTTCCTGGGATTCGGTGAATGAATACATGCAGGCCAGGCAGGGTGGTACATGCAATCCCTGCTCAAGGAAGCAAGGCTGTGAGTTGGAGGCCAGGCTACATGTTCAGACTTTGTACCAAACAGAAAACAAACAAACAAACAAACAAATAGGAAGGAAAGAAGGAAGGAAGAAGAAAAAGGAAGGAAAGAAGGAGAGGAGGAGTGTAAGCTGTGTGGCTCTGGGGTGCACAAAACAGCACACACACACACACACACACACACACACACACACACACACCGGCAGCTCGAGTTTTATAAGTTCAAAACTACTGCTTTGGGGGATGTCTGGATACTCATATTTATTTATTTATTTGGGTTTTTTTTTTTTTTTGAGACAGGGTTTCTCTGTCCTTAGCTGTCCTGGAACTAGCTCTCGTAGACCAGGCTGGCCTTGAACTCACAGAGAGACACCTGCTTCTGCCTCCTGAGTGCTGGGATTAAAGGTGTGCGCGACCACCGCCCGGCTAGAATACTCCATTTTAAGGAAATACTTTTGCTCAAAAAAGGAAGCTGACTCAGCCAGAAGGCGCGGAAAAGGGCAGGCTTCCCCGGACCAGGCAAGTTGGGTCGATCTGCAGAAGGCTTCTGGGAAAGGGTGTACTGAGCAGAAGGATTCCTCTCCTTTCCGCATGAAAATATAGACGGGAATGAAGGGAGCTTCTGCACATCCCGCTGCTGAGTGACGCCACGCAAGCTACAAAGCCAGCTGAGACCACAAGCAAACAGTTCAGGTGTCTTAGTAAATGCTTTTATTATTTCCAATCAGTTACAGGTCCCGAGCAGGTGAAGTCACAGAAGGGCACATGGGAGGGGCCCGGGGGAGCTCGTGGAAGCTGAGGCCAAAAGGGCAGCAGCGTCTGGGTGTGTGGGCAGATGTGTCGGGAAAAGCTTAAGGCAGGGGTCCGAGTCCTGTCCCTAGCCACTGTCCCCAGGGACCAATTCCCTCCCTGCCAAGCCGGACTCTGCTTTTCCCCTAACAGCCAGAAGGGGGCAGCAAGGTCCTTGTGTAAAATTTCCAACTTGATTCTCTCCCCCCAACCCCCCCAAGCTCCCCCCCCCCGCACCCCATTCCCACCCCGCCTTTTGGAATTAGGGCGCTTGAGGGATCCTGACTCCTACAGGAGAAAGGGTATGGAATGAAAGAACCAAGATTCTTAATCTCGTGGCTTCCTCGGGCTATATCGAAAGAGCTGCTGTACACGAACCCAGGAATTGGTGTGGGGGAGTGAGGGACTTCACGTGACTATCCTTCCCGGACCTCCTGATCGGTCACGCTGCCTCTCTGTGCCTCTCATCGCAGATGGATTCCTGGCTCCCTCTAACTTTATGAAATCCAACCCACCCCGTCACAGGTCCGGCCCCACCCGAACTAAAAATGTGAGGGGCCAGCGGGAGTCCTTCCTCCTTCACAGTTTGCCGCACCTGCCCAGCTTCGGTTTCTCATAATCCCGCATTCCTCATAATCCTGCATTCTTGTTCCTGCCCTTCCTCCTGCCAAGACCCACCCAGGTGTTCCTGGGACCCTTCACTGCTCTGTCAGGGGTCGACACCAAAGCTTTCTCTGGCCTTGCTGCCAGTTCAGTTAGCAGACTGAAGCTAAGCCTGCTGGCAGGCCTCTCCACCTCCACGGCCGAGCCATCTTTGAGATCGCTGTGACTCGTACCCGGGTCACATTATTTATGGCTGAGGGCTTGCCCCTCCCCCAGGCTTTTGGAACTTAGCTTTGGAAAACTTTCTCAGTCCTCAAAGTCTCTGCATAGATTATCCCAGAAGAAGAGGGCTTGGACAAGTGGATTCTGGGAAACTGGCCAGTGTGAGGTTGGCAGGTCAGTGGGGGAGGGACTTTGAACCTTTCTAGAACTGAACCAAGAGATAAGGAGAGGCCCTCAAGGTGAGCAACTAGATGAAGTCAGTGGAAGTGTCTTGGTGCCTCTCCCTGCCCCTCATTGGCACTGGTTGGGGACTTATAGATAGGGAAACAGAGCCACAGAGAAAACACAAGTCTGTGGGCAGTGAGGCCCAATCAGAAGCCAGGAATTCTGCCTCCCAGCTGACTTCCAGGGAGTGAGAACCTCATTTTGGCATCTCAGAGTCAAGGATGGGAGATGGGGGGGGGACACAACACCCCCCCCCCCGAGATGCCAGGCCTTGACCACCCATGTCTATAGTATACACAAGTCTCAGTCCAGCCCGTCTGAATGGAGCAGCTGTGACTGACCCCAGGATTACTAGATGACGATGGATTTATCACCAACCCCCTGGCTTTGCCTCTGCAGTGGGGATGTGCGGATCACCATTGTAGGGCCCCTTTCCGGACTGCAGCAGTGGGCACTCATGCCAACTGCCCCACCCCCACCCCATTCTTGGTTCCTTCCTTTCTCAAAGAGTCAAGGAAGAACAAAATTTCAAAGGCTTCTGTAATGTTTCCCAAAGGTGGGCAGGGGCAGGGACAGGAATGGATAGGCTACCTAGTCCCCTTTCCTAGGGGGCAAACAGAGCCCCCTACATCCACAGAGCCTCCTAGCCTCCACCCAGTAACTTTCCACTGGCCTGGAGCTGGCCATGTGCACATGTGGGCTGCATGCTGCCCCAGGTGTGGCCCCTGGTCCCCTCTCCAGCGGGCACTCAGCCAGGACAGGGTGGCTGACGCACACTCTGCCTGAGATCCCAGCCGCCTAGAGGCCGATAAGGAGTTCTGGCCTCATCACATGGGATAGGCTTAAGGGATTGGCCCTGGCTGTGACCGTGAGCTGGGCAGCTTCCAAATTACAGAGATATGAAGATAAGGGGGCAAGGGCCCAGGGACTCTGGGCTGAATGGCCAGGGAAGCTGGGGGAAGGGACATGGAGGCCTCCACTCCTAGGGCCTCAGGAGGCCTGACAGGAGGGGCATAAGGCAGGACATAGCAGAAGCCAGGGGAAGGCTTAGGAAATAGATGTGGAAGGGACAGAAAGACAGCCCCTGGTAAGGGCTGGCTCAGCAGTTAGAACTACTTTCACCTCACTTCCCCCTCAGGCCTGTGGAAACAAAGATGGGGTTAACATTCACTGCATTCACACATGCCTGCCCAGTGACTGCAGTTTGACCGACTGCCCGTTCAGTCCTCGCAGCTGGCTGCCTGGGAGCTTAGGCCAGGCCCACAGTTAGGCACATTCCCCTATCCGTCCTATGACCGGGAGGGCAAACTGAGGAAAGCAATGGAAGCATCCCTACTCCTTTTATAATTGTCCAGGTCTCTAGAACAAGCCACTGGTCCTAACAGCCGAGAGAGGGGCAGCCTGGGACAGCTTCACCCCCACACCCGGTGCCCGGTCCTTATGTTCCAGTCTGTCCCCTCAGTCTTTGCCCTTACAACCTGAGAGAAGAAGTAAAATCCTAGAACAGGTTTGGTGGGGTCACAGTTGCAGCCAGGTTTCTGGGGTCTCCTTCCCACCTCTGAGGGGGCTTCCTCCCACTCATTCCCTGGGTCTGCAAATCCAGAGGTGCTCTCAGCCATGACTGTCCCACTTGGAGGATGTAATTGGGTGTCAGGGGCACCGCGGGGTTGGTGTGGCCTCAGGTCTGTCGGGCCCCAAGGATGGCGTATGTACAAGCTACAGAGGGCTGGCTGCAGGAGAGAGCGACCGCTCACGAGCTGGCTGCAGCACGTTTATGTCTGGACTTGCAGGAGCACAGAGGGGTCACAGGACAGGGAAGGGACGTTCTCTGGAGGAACGTAGGGATGGGGAGGTCTCCTCATTCCCTGCTGGTGCCGAAAAGCTGCAGGAAGAAGGTGAAGATATAGATAATGTCTAAATAAATGTTGAGGGCTCCAAAAATATACTCCTCGGGACTCAGTGAGTGGCGACGGTTACCCATTAGCAACTGGGTATCAAATGCCAGGAACTGGAAGAGAGGAAAGAATGAGAAGTCAGATAGTCAATCAGGGTGGACACTAAGGGGCCTAAGCTGCTGGTTTTAGGACCTGGTGGTTTAGTGACGGCCCAGAGCTTGAAATCTTCCCAACACCTTCCGCCCCTAATTATATCTAACACCTATTTACTGAGCACCTGTTTTCTTCCAGGCAGAGCTATAGCAGAGGGCATAGTCCCTGCCCACTGAAGCTAAAGTCTGGGGGTGAGGGGGGTGTTAGAGAGATGAGAGTAACCCCACAGTAATACGAAGTGCCTTCTGGCAGTGCTGAGGGTTAACAGGAGTCTGTCCTTCGGGCAGTTAACTAGGAGTCTGTCCTGGGTGAGTGTGGCCGCCTATGAGGGCTTCCTGAAGCAGGGGGCTTTCTGTTGAGACAGGCTTCATGCTGCTGTCCAGGCCCTGCTCCGTGTCTGAGGATAATGCACAGTACTCCGGGAGCTTGCTATATGCTTTACGGACATCAGCTTCTTCCAGTGAAAGTGCCATTACTAGAGGAAACTGAGGCCAGAGATGTAAAATATTTACCCTGCTCCACTCACGTGGGGAAATGACAAACTCGGGGTTTGAGCAGGCTGGCCCCAGCGCCCACAAACCCAACCATTCCCCTCTGCTGCACTCTGCAGCACGCAGGATTAACACGTCTCTTGATCTCCCACGGGAACCTTCTGGGCCTAGTGGATGATTCTGCACCAACTGCCTTAGCCACAGCTCTCCTCTGTCCCCAACCACCCCTGCCAGCCCTTTCCACTGCCCGCAGAGACTCCGCCCCTCCCTCAGAGCTTTCCTCTGGGTTCAGTCTTGACCACAGAAACCCCTTGCAAGCAGCATATGAAATTAGGCAGGCAGGGACACCTTTTGGAGGATAGAGTCCCCAAAGTCTCCCAGTGTCTAAAAGGGGGAGAACTGAATCTACACGGGCTGAGGTTTCTTTAGATTCATTCATGTTCGGCACCTAGCTCCTTCACCACTGAATGCGGAAGGCCTGGGTTCCTCATAAACTATCCCACACACACGCGCACAAATGCACCGGGTGACAAATGCATGCCAGGGACTAAGAGTGGAAACCACAAGGGAGACAAATCTGTGTGCTTTGGCGAGGCTCACTGCCTAATGATGTTGGGGAGAACTAGATAATTACGTGGAAGCTGGGCCCTTGCTATAATTAGGGCTGTGGAGTGAGAGCTCCTGACTGCTCAAGAGGACTGTGTCCTGGAAGGGTGACATGTTACATGGGGTGTGAAGGAGCCGTGGGCATCGGCTAGGCTGGACAAACTTAGGAAGCCCTAGGGACCCGAGGGACCTGTTGTGAATGGTGAGGAAGTACAGTGGGGGCACTGTGGGAAGGCAGGTGACAAGAGGGAAGTCACCTGACCTTGGAGCTTGGATTTGCCCAAAGGGAGGCTGAAAGATGTCCCAATCCATTCTCTTCACTCCATCCAAGAACTCCACTCCCTGGACCCAGACTCCTTGGGATGTTTTAGATGCAGCCCCCAGGGAGCCTGGGAGGATTCTTGCCCTCCATGCTAATGCCACACAATACAGGAAGGAAGCAGAGACTCCAGCACATGGTACATGAGATGGGTCATCCCCCTGAAGGTGTGGGGGGGCAAGGGTGACTCTGAGCTCTGTCTTGAAGGTCATCCGGCTTGGAGACTGTCCTACCACTTACTCAGTTGGGAGAACGAACATGATGCCTTCTCTTTGGCCTACGAATCCCTAGCTGTGAGGGAAGATGGTGTGTTTGCCTCATGAGGCTGTTGCCAGCCTGCGATAACCATGCTGTGTCCGAGACACCTGACCTCCAGCCGGTACCTAATGTACCGTAGCTGTTACTGGGGCTCTGCTGCCGTGTCTGCAGGAACAGCATCCTCCCAAGACGAGGCAGGCACTGCTAATGAGACTCAGGTGGCTCCGGCATCGCGTCAGGGAGGCAGAGGGATCTGCACAGTTTTAACAGAAGGGAAATGGGGAGCTGCAGTGAGGGTTGAGGGGGCCCTCTATGCAAGGATTGGGCCTCCCAGCATGGCAGCATTAAGGGCAGGGCCTCCCCGGAACACAGACTGAAGCTGGAAGGCTGAGGTTTGAGTCCTTGCTCCAGGTTTCAAGAGTCAGTTTGGCCATGTGACCTCAGTGCCTCCATTTTATAAAGCAGGATGGCATCGAGGGTCACAGCACCCTGACTGTACAGAGGCCTCGACTGCCATTATCCCTCACTATCATTTTTACTCCAGTCTACTTGGCAGAATGAGGTTTGGCTTCCTAAGTGAGGTTTCCTCTGCAAAGAGAACAAGCAGGGGGTGGTAGAGGGGGGCTCAGATGCTGCGGGCTGTTTAGCGGGCACAGCTGCCAAGCAGAAGTTAATAAATCGCTGAGCTGGCTTATCCATCAGCAGCGCTTGGTTGATTTCCCAGAGCCTGGTCACCCCTGGGTGAGCTCATGAAATAGAATCTTTCAACCTAGAAGGCTTGGACCTGATCAGGTTTGGGGGTGCCCCTCCAAGGAACACCTACCCAGAACAGCTAGCTGGCTGCAGAGGTGGCTGCCCCAAAGGAGTTACCATTCACTGCTGCAGCCTCATGCAGAGAGCCAACCGGGAGCCTTTTACTTACTTGTGCTTGCTCATATTTACTGAGCACCTACTATGTCTCAGGGAACTTAGAACTGACAGTTTAATGAGAGCAAGAAACATCATCCAGAATTCCATTATAAGGGCCAGCAAGATGGGGCAGATAAGGGTACTTGCTATCAAGCCTGGTGGCCTGGACTTGATCCCTAGAGCCCACACAGCAGGGAGAAATGACTTCTATGAGTTGTCCTCTAATCTCCACACACACACTGTGGCACACATGTGTACAAACACACACACACAAATAAATGTAAAATGATTTTTTTTTAATCCCATTATAAGCACGCATTACTAAGGGAAAAGTAACAGGCTAGCATCTCCATGGTGACTGAAGCTTGCCAACCTTCTGACCCAGCAGTGGGTGGCCTTGTTTACAGTTAACATACTAGTTGCAAACTAAGATCAGCTGCTGACACCTGGAAATGTAACTGTTCCCCCCTGGAAAGGTTAACTTGTAGCTGAACACGGGGCTCTGCAGGGGCGGGTGGGATGGGGCCAGAGGCAGTGCAGCGTTAGAATATGAGTAATGAGTCTAGGATATATGACGGTTCTTATACATGCTACTATGTTAGCTCAGCTCACATAATGAGTCTGGAATATATGACGGTCCTTATACATGCTACTATGTTAGCTCAGCTCACTGTCCCTGTGTGCACAGGCAGGTGGGCATTGTCTCCGGTCAGCCTATGGGGTTAGGGGTCTTAGAAATTTGGCTTGCTGATGGCCACTTGTCTGGTGCTGGAACCTGACCACACCTCTGTTCTGGTGGAGCTGGGGCAGAATGGGCTTGGGGGAGGGGAGCGGGACCCTGTCCTAATTCTCCCACTCAGTAGGGCTGCATCTAAACCAGTGGTTGTCAATCTTCCTGAACCTCGACACTTTAATACAGTTCCTCATGTTCCATGACCCCCAACCATAACATTATTTTCATTGCTACTTCATAATGTAATTTTGATACTTTTAATGAATTGTAATATAAATGTCTGATATGCAACCCCTTCCAAAGGGGTCACAACCCACAACCCACAGGTCGAGAAACACTGATCTACAGACTCTGGCCACATAACTGACTTGACCCTGACCCTGCTACATTGGGAATTAAACTTTTATCTGTTGTTTGTCCCTCCCTCAAACATGGCTCAGAGGTGAGGCTGAGGCACTCTGGGAGAGCCACACCATGGTGAGGCCATCAGCAGACAAGGGATGAATATTAAAAACCTGGGGTTGCAATGTGTTGAGCCAGTCCTACAGAAAAGGCACACATCGCAGGAGTGGAGAGCCCTGGCCATTCTTGGAGGGCGGATTCTCACAGAGCTTTACTGGAAACCACCCAGTCTTGACAGGAGCCAGCTAATGAAACTGACGCAGCAGGGCGGAAATGCTTCTGTTATCTGCTACCACGAGAAGAAAGCAAGCCGCAGAAAAGTCCTTATCACACCGTTGCACAAAAGTACACGTGTGACCAAGAGCCTCTAAGCAAGCACGTCTGTAGAAGTCTAGGAAGAGAGCGACTGCCCATCATGGTCACCACGGGGGAAGGCAAGGAGCATGGTCAAAGTGCTTGCTTCATTCATATTTAAGATTTTCAAAAGCTGAAACCCAGGAGTGGATGTATTCCTATATTGTGAAGTATAACATATACAGAAGGATTAAAATAGCACAAGATGGGCCCGTGACTGTTTTAAATACTCTTGTAAGCCTCTGTGATGAATGTCACACTTCTGTCCCCACTGTTGGGTGACATGCTTGAAGCACAGGGAATATAACCAACTTGCCCTCATCACACAGCCAAGAAGACAGCTCAAGTCTGCTGATACCAAAGTGCCAAGAGAAGCAACGGGGGTGCACACATGCTGGTGTGTGTGCACTCATGCTGGTGTGTGTGCATGTATGTGCGCATGTGTACACATATGTGTGCTATAAGAATGGAGTAAGAAGCCGGGCGGTGGTGGCGCATGCCTTTAATCCCAGCACTCGGGAGGCAGAGGCAGGCGGATCTCTGGGAGTTCGAGGCCAGCCTGGTCTACAAGAGCTAGTTCTGGGACAGGCTCTAAAGCTACAGAGAAACCCTGACTCGAAAAACAAAAAACAAACAAACAAAAAAAAGAATGGAGTAAGAAGAGATGCACACAGAACCCTTTGCTCAGAGAAACACGGGCTTCCTAGTTGAACGGCACAGAGGACTGAGCTCCTCTGGTGCTCTGTCTGCTCTTTTAGAATGGGAGGGTGACTTTGCCCTTTGTGATGCTCCCCTACCCACTTCTCTTTAAGACAGGCTCTTGATATGTAGGCCAGGCTGGCCTCCAAATCTCAGTTATGATAAAAGATAAAGTAAATATAAATATTG